CTTTAATCGCATGGCCGAGGTGAATTTAAAAGAAGGACAACTTTTTCCATATCACATTTACGTGGTGGGAAACTGATAAGGCACTACTTATTTAGTTTTATAAGTAGGTTCTCTAGACTATTAATATTATTATGGGAAAATTCAACTGCCAGCCCTTACTTACCTAAACTAAATAGGGCAAACACACCTCATATGTGTATGATCTACTGATTGTCTCGGGAACCTACTTATAAACGGTTAAAAGGTTTAGATTATCTATAGGACTGTACAACATCCTAAATAGGAGGAACGAATAAAGGGAATTGTGGGCAAACTATTTTTGCATGCAAGATAAGTTTCAGAAGAAGGAGAGCGAAAGAGTGAACAGGAAGAAGCGCTGATTTAGAGAAGGAGGCCTGAATAGCCTCGGGTTTGGTTAAGTCTACCATACCCCACATCAGTTAAACATTGTATACACACAAAAAGGTACAGCACATGGCGAAACATGTGTCGACATTGGAGGATCGTACGCTAGCTTCTTTATGCAATTGAGCAACTGCGAGTACACCAACTTTATCCATCAGCAAGCACATCGAGCAAGCATAAAGTAGCAAATTGAATAATTGGCAGCTTTTGATGGAAAATTTGGTTACAAAATGTTAGTGGGTTTACGACCAGCCACTTGACCTCTTTCGTAAACAATACTTTCTGGCTCTGATGACGATTGTCACGGAGCTATCGACGAAAGCTCATCACTGATGCATCGGGTTGGCATGACGACACAATCAGACAGCTCCCACTGAAATGAAACCCTGCTTCAACTTCCAAAGAGGCCAATTCACGAATTGCCTACAACCATCTTTTCATCAGAAATGAAAAATAGAGTCACATAAAATCGCAAATACAGTTTTTCTTCATATGTTTCAGCTTCTGCTTATGCATTTTTATGCTCTTCAGTCATAATTCCCATTTTATGATGCAGGCATTCCAGCCAATGCAGAGATCCCGCCTTGACTTGTACATTACTGCTGGCCTACATACACTTCCCTTCACCTCGAACCATCTTTTCGTCCCGACTCTGGTAAAGAGACAAGCAGCGATTGTGCCTTTGGCTCTCGTTGGTAGACACACGCCAAAATTGTGGCCTCTCAGTGACATAAAGCATCATAAAAATGTGCTTTTCTGGAATTCCACCGCCATGAGCACCAGCATGTTCTGCACTGAGGGACTTAAGGCAACAATTAACTGAAATTCAAGCAGAAAATGAGTAGACATTTGGCAAAACTATTAGAAAACTGTCCTGTGCTGACACGAAATTTAGGTGTTATCTGCTTACTTTGATCTGCAGGCATTTGCAAACTTTTCCTAATCAAAAAAGATGAAGGCAGCCTTAAATCTCGTATTTCTGGGAAAGTCTAATAAAAGATTAGCCAACTTCATATTTCGATTAGTCTCTCTGCAAGCTGAGTCCTATTCAAACATCATTAAGACGTTTACACTTCCGATGGGAAAACCGAATAACGGGTAACTTGATAAGTTCTTCCTCAATCTCGTCAAGCACATCCAATTTATTCGCAGCTGATATACTCTATTCTAGTCTAATTACAATTAATTTTTCTAAAAAAATGTCAGTACGTTGAACTATTTAAAGGATGAAGTTTGAGTTCAATTGATTGATATTAATAAGATGTCAAAGATTACGCAGTCAAAGAGACAGTGTAATTTGATTTAGGGAAAAAGGAGTAATGCCTTCGACCATTATCCCACGTAATTGATATATATATATATATATATATATTCACAAATCTAATAAATGTCGGCTCGTAACAAATCATCCAATCAATGCTAAACTCAAAATAATCATAATTCTCCTTTTCAAGTCAAATTATCCAATTATAATTTGAGCAATCTAGGATCACTGCGTGGCAGCTCATCTCATGAGAGGAAATGTCATGTCAGCTTATAGCATGTCATCTCATTTCACGGAGAATAAAATAGTATGTAATCGTCTCATATTATGCAATCGAAATTCACGTGATCTCTTCACAAGTCATGTAATCGAATGAGATGTGGAACAAAATATTGCGAAAAAACAGCTGTTAAAGTGGCACAAAAGTTATTTCAATGCATCTGAGTCAAATAGATACTAATAGATATATGAGTATAGATAATTTTATCTGATGAAATATGCATTTGTGACAAAGAGACTAGCAAAAGAAAGCTAAACAAATTAGATAAATTAAAGACTGCCAGATATAAAAAAATTCTAATAAAATAAACTATAAAAATACTAGAAAGTAAAATGGTATCAAACAAATGCAAAATAAAATAAAATAAAATAAAAAGGAAGGAAACAGGAAAAAAAAGAAAAATTATTTCTGCAATATAAAGGCATATAAAATAATTGAAAGCGAATTTAAAAATAAAAATTATAACCTAATCTCATAAAATTCAATTAAACTCATCTCATTTAATCACAATTTATGCCAATTTATTTAAATTCATTTCAACACAATTAATCTCAAAACATATAATCTTCTATAGTCATATCTTATCTAATCTAATCGCAAAACATCTAATCCTATATCATTGCATTAAATCTCATCTCATCTCATCTGCTCTCATCTGCTCTTTTCTCATCACATTTCATCTTATCTCATCTCTTCTTATTTCCCTTCGTTCCATCCCATCTCATCTTTTCTCTTCTCTTCTTATTTTATCTCCTCCCATCTCATTTCATTTTTTTCTTCTTTCATCTCATTTTATCGCAATTTCTTTTTCTAGGATATCTTCCACAACCCGATATTTTCACACTATACCCTCAAATCGTCCAAATCTAACAGCTTGTACTATTATAAAAACGTGAATAACTCTTTCAATCCAACTTTCATCTAAAATCTTATTAATCTAACATCCCACACAAAGTTACCTCTTCCACATTTCTCACAATATCAACAAATCACACATGTATCCCAACTACATCATTTGTCACATATCGCACTACTCACACCAATCGCAAAACTCACACAAATTGCACAAGTGAAAAATTCAGACAAGTTGCGCACCTCTCACAATTCTCACAACTCAAACGAATCGCACAAATTGCCGAAATCACGCAAATCACACAACGCAAACAATTATCCCACTCGGACAAATGAGACAACTCACATAAATCGCCTAACTCACAAGATTGGCCCATCTCACACAAATCGATCAACCCATAACACCTCAGATAAATCGCACTAGCTCAACATCTCACACAAACTGCACAAATCATACAAATCGTACAACTCGAACACTTCATACAAATCGTACTACGCACAAAATCGTGCAACTAAAATTACTTCCACAAATCGACGATTCGCCAAAAATTGCTCAGATGGAACAACTTACACAAATCGCACTACTCACAGAAATCAGACGATTTGAACAAATCACATAAATCGCCTAATTCACACAAATGGAATAATGCAAACAACTCAGAAATCGCCATACTTACACAAATCTTATGACTCACACAAATCGCTTACCTCGAATAACTCACACAAATCGCACCACTCACATAAATCCCACAACTCACACAAATCTCACCACCTAAACAACCCACACGAATCGCTTACCTCGAATAACTCACACAAATCGCACAACTCGACACACTCCTTCGCTTTCACAAAATTAGA